GAGATAAACTACACTGCCGATGAACGTGAGGTTCTCGCAGTAGTTTATGTTACCCGGCATTGGCGTCATTATCTGCACGGGGCGCCCTTCACGGTGCGCACGGACAACTCAGTTGTCCAGGCTTTCCTCACGAAGCCTAAGCTTTCCCCTCGACAGGCACGCTGGTGGCGTGACTTATCCGAGTTCAGTTTCACCACTCAGCCCATCATGGGTGAAACGAACCGCGTCGCCGATGCCTTGTCCCGCCGTCCTGATCACAATCAGGAACCCATCCATCTTGCTGCCATCTCCATCATCAGTGTTGATCAGTCGGTGATCGACGCGTATCGCACTCGGTATCGCCACTGCCCCGATTATCGCGTCATCCACACGACACTGCGGAGTGGCAAAACCGTTCCTTCCTACTCCCTCGGGGAGAACGGCCTCGTGTACTGGCATGGCAGATCTGGTCAGCTAGAACCACGTATCTACGTTCCCTCCACCGGACAGCTCCGCGTCCAGGCTGTAGCAGAGTTCCATGACCAGGCAGCTGCCGGTCATATGGGTTTCCACAAGACGTTGGCTCGTGTTTGCCGCCTATACGTCTGGCCGAAGTCCAAGGACTCTGTTAAAGCCTACATCCAGGAGTGTCCTACCTGCCAGGAGGTGAATAGTGCGAACAGCCTTCCGTATGGGTTACTTCAGCCCCTACCCATACCTGAAGGTCGTTGGCAGTCTATCTCGATGGATTTCATTGGTCCCCTCCGCCCACCCACTCAGCGCGGTCATGATGCTATCTTGGTCGTCGTCGATCGCTTCACGAAGCGTGCACGTTTTGTTCCGTGCCGCTATCGCATTAGCGCTCGTGAGGTCGCCGACATCGTCTTCGACCGAGTCGTGAGAGATCACGGCTTACTTCAGAGCATCATCTCCGACCGTGACCCGCGCTTTACCAGCACATTCTGGCGACGCCTACACGAGGTGTACGGATCCCAATTCCGCTTCTCATCGTCTTACCACCCTCAGACGGATGGTCAGACTGAGGTCACCAACAAAACTCTCGGTAATATCCTCCGAAAGTTTGTTAGGGATGACCAGCAGTGGGACTTACACTTAGCCCACTCGGAGATTGCGTACAACCACGCTGTTTCGCCAGCCATGGGGATGTCGCCATTCTATTGCGACCTCGGCTACCACCCTCGCGTACCTGCGGATTTCCTACGACCATCRCRGTTGCGYCCAGACACTCGTTGCCCTGCGCTTGACGACTGGATCGCCCACATGGCGGCGATTATGAAGCGCGCACACGAGAGTTTAGCCGAYTCCCAGACTCGCATGGCCGCACGAGCGAACCGATCACGAATGGATCATCCATTCAAAGTCGGTGACGATGTGTTCGTCGACGCACGCCACTTACAGCTCGAAGCAGATATGCTTCGCAAGTTCAGGCGTCGTTTCTTCGATCCATGCCGCATCCTTCAGGCCGTCGGCTCTGATACTGCCGCTAGTCCGGTCAGCTTCCGTGTGAAGCTACCTGATTACCTTCGACAGGCTCGCGTACACGATGTTTACCACGTCTCCTTGCTGCGTCCTTATCGCAGACCGTCCAAGCGCTTCGCCGGACGCCCTTATGAGCTCCCTCCACCTATCATGGTGGACGGTCACGAGGAGTTCGTTGTTTCCGACATCGTATCACGCCGATTATCGACGATACCCCTCCACGCATCGAGTACCTTGTGCGTTGGAAGGGCTACCCTGATGAGGAGGCTACTTGGGAGCCCCTCGAGCACTTGCAGCACGCCAGGATGTTGGTGCGTGCATATGATCGTGCTCGTCGTGCTGGGACATCTGCTTCTACTCAGCCGACTGACCCTCTTCCTCCTCCTCCGGCTGAGGAGATCGCTGAGGATGAGCCCGCTCCCTCTGAGGCCGCTCCTCAGCCGCAGATGGTCGCCTCCGAGCGTCCACAGCGCACTCATCGTCGCCCTTCACGTTACGATGACTAACACTCTTATCCTCCATCTTTCCCCACTGACTCACACCATCAGGTACTCCATCATCAGCTCTTCTTCAGGATGTCAGCGTTTTGCGGCTCTGCTTCAACATCGACTCGACTGCTACTTCATCGACGTCATCGACCGATTCGACGACTTCAGCTACCTTATCGGCTTCAGCTACTTTGGACGTGACTACTTCATGCCACCACCCTACCCTGTACATTCCCTTGCATCTGTCGCATGATGGTTCTCACTTAGTTAGGTCTCTTTGAGTTGGGCTCTCCCTTGGTATCGCATAGGCATTGGGACCGTAGCGTTATCTTGGCTTCCCTGCTCCCAGATCTAGCTCCTTCCTCCCCCAGTCGGTGAGTTGTGTGCATGTTTCCCTCACCCACTGCCCTCATCACCCTAGTGCCGGCCCTTGCATGCCTTTAGTTAGGCATATCTCCACCCTATTCTAGGCTCCCCCTTTTCATGGTCGACCCTGCATGGTGTCACCCTTGTCGAGCATTACCCGCCTTGATGGTC